CCCACTCCCCCCTGCTCTCTCTCTCTCTTTCCCCATAGCCCTGATCAACCCCACTCCCCCCGCGCTCTCTCTCTCGTTCCCCATAGCCCTGATGAACCCCACTCCCCCCGCGCTCTCTCTCTCGTTCCCCATAGCCCTGATGAACCCCACTCCCCCCGCGCTCTCTCTCTTTCTCTCCCCATAGCCCTAATCAACCCCACTCGCCCGATTCCGGCATTTCCCCCAACCCCTGGAATTCCATCCCCCAGTCACTCCGCCTCGCCCTCTCCTTCAAGTCCTGCCTCAAGACCCTCCTCTTCGACCATGCCATCGGTTGTTGTTGGGTGGCCGGACAGGAAAGAGCTGGAAACTCACCGTAGGTATCGTAGGGGTCGGTGTTCAGGCCGGGCATGTTCCAGCAACAGATGGTGCCGTCCATCCCGCCACTGAAACAATGGTCTCCTTTGGCGCTGACCGCGATCGAGAGGACGGGATCTCTGGAACGTAGGGAACAACGGATTTGTCACGCCTGCGGCTCCTGGCGCTCCCCCCCTCCCCGCGGGAATATCGGCGCTGAGCTAACCCTCCACCGCCCCCCGCCTCCCCCACCCGAGCATAGAATCAACCCATCGTGCTCATCTTACCCAACTCGTCCCCACTCTTTCTGCTTTTATCCCAACTAGTCCCCACTCACTCCCCCGCCCTTACCCCAACTAGTCCCCACTCAGGGCAGAGTGGCTGAAAACACGGCCGCTGATGGTGAAGTGGAGTTGGGAGAACACAAGAGGAATGAGGTGTGAGCAGGCGGGAGAGGTAGGGAGTTGTTAGGACACTGTATAACCCTGTGTGTGTGTGTGTGTGTGTGTGTGTGTGTGTGTAAATCGCCAAATCTGTCCCTTTGGGTGTATTTCCTGTTGTTAATCTGGAATCGGTTCTGGATTATACTCACATGTGTCCTCTGAAAGTATATATGGGTTCCACATCCAGAGCAGTACTCCTGGAGACAAAGCAACCATAAGAAATGTTTCGATGATGTTATATATACACACACACACACATAGATATATATATATAAAATAATGTTGTTACTCAATCCACGACTGTATGTGGAAATCGCTGTGTACAATTGGCTGCCGCGGTTCGCCCACAAAGTACATAGTCACTACACTCTACAATATATGGTATAGAGTGGGGTCCTGTAGTGCAGTGGTCAGAGCACTCGCCTCGCAAGCGAGAGGATCGCGGGCTTGATTCCCGGGCGGGGGAAAACCTTAGGCAAGTTTCCTTACCCCACACACACAGACACACACAGACACAGACACGCTCACGCGCCTCTGTTTACTTAGCAGAAAGTAGGAACCCGGTTGGTCAGTCAGATCCCTTTTCCAGGGGGTCATAAAATCTCCCCAAAGAATAATAATTTTAAAAAATCAGCCAGGACTGTTTGTGGGGACGTCGCCAGGCGCGATTGGCGGCCGCGTTTCGCCCACAAAACACACGGCAACCGCACTTTACGGCGTGTCCCGTGAAGCGCTTTGAGGCGTCTGGAAGACGTGATCAGGTCCCGGGTCAAACGCCGGGATTATTACTATGATTATTATTATGACTGTGATGCTGACGATGATGTGAACGGGAGCACTTGCTTTTTGGCGGGCACGGTTTTCTGCAGGTTCCACAGTTTGAGGGTTCGATCCTCGGAAGCCGTGACCAGCACCGGCTCCTCCGCGTGGAAAGCCAGCGCCCGGATCCCGTCGAAGTGACTGCGCAGCGTGTACTTGGGATTCCACGTCTTCCGGAAGCCATCCTTCTTGTCGGCGATCTGCAGCGAGACCGGTGAGGGGAGGAGGGGGAAGAGAGAGGGAGGAAAGACAGGGGAAGGAAGAAAGCCGAGTTACGATGACTCTCCGGACCGCATTTTTCCTTTTTGACCATCCCAAACCGCTAATAACAACGATAATATTCCTCGCATTTTCCTCGACGCGCTTCGCGAGGTTTTGCCGGAAAGTGGAGTGACTGTGTGTTTCGCGGGGCGAAAACACACCGACAAAAGACAAGCGGCCGACTGCACTTTACAGCGCATATCCCGTGATACAGAGCTTTGAATCGCAGCGAAGACGTGATCAGCGCTGGATCAAATGCGATTATTATTACTTTATTGTTAGTGTTGTGAGCCAGGAACGCCGAGAGAGAGAGAGAGAGAGAGAGAGAAAAAGGGCTGCTCACTTTTCACGGGTACTTACATCGGACACCAAGTCGTTGTCGTTGGTGACAGTCAGGTCCGCCAGCTCGCCCAGGCTCATCGCCCCATCCCCGACACCCTCCACCCCCATGATAAACTTGCCGGCGTCTGAAGGAAAGGGCAGAGGGTTGGCTGTAATCGGAGCACAAGCAGAAATGCTTTAAACAGAGCACCACCACCGCAGCCACCATCATAATCCTCGCGTCTGATATCGCGGCGTCGAGAAGTCTCAGAAGCGCTTCACAGGACCCACTGTCGAGTGGAGCGACTGTGTTGTTTTGGGGGCGAAACGCGGCAGCCAATTGCGCCCAGCGACGTCCCCACAAACAGCCACGGACTGAATGACCCAAATCGTTATTTTTTTGGGGGAGGAATTATTACCCCCGGAAAGCGATTCCCCCCCCAATCGACTAACAAGCGGGCTCCTACTGACTGCCGGGAAACAGAGGCGTGTGTGTGTGTGCGCGGACTAAGGAAACTTGCCTAAAGTTTCACCCTGTCCTGACCCGCCCGGGAATCAAACCCTGGTCCTCTGGGTTGCGAGGCGAGGGCTCTAACCACTACATGACAGGACTCCATTACCATTATTTAGCTGGTGTCACAATAACACACTGACTGTGAGGCAGACCACAGGCTGACTGACACACAGACCACAGCTGCGTAACTTCCGGGAGGTAAAATGACACCACACCTTCGCTGGGCTTGGCTGGTCCGGCGATGGCGGAGGGAATGGAGGGCAGGGTGTCCAGGTCCTGGAAATCCGGCAGTGCGTTTGCAAGCTTCGGCTGGTGACTCCCTGCGGATCGGGGTGATAATTAATAATAATAATAAAAATAATCCTCGCATTTCATGCAGCCACGTGTCACGTCTTCGAGACCTGCAGTGACTGTGTGTTTTGTGGGCGGAACGCGGCAGCCAATTGCGCCCAGCGACGTCCCCACGAACAGTCGGGGAGTGAGTGACCAAATTATTATTATTATTTTTTTTTGGGGGGGGAAAGGAGGGGAATTACTCAGTTTGTTGTTGTTTTGAGACACGGCTTGAATGAGGTGCGGGAGGGAGGGGACTAAGTGTGGGAGTGAGGGCGTGAGTGAGGGAGGTGAGGGAGGGGGGGAGCGAGAGATTTGGCCGGCTTGCCTTACCGAGCTCCTTGCCGTCCCCCAGGCCTCTGGCCTCCCCTCCCGTCTCCTCCTCTTCGCCGGTGCCCAAGAAATGGAACTCGTTCAGAGCGTCCACTGTCTCGCAGTCCATGCCCAGGTTCGTGGCCGTCAGCATCTCCCCGCCCACCTGCAACTCACCACGACAACAGGTCACACACCTCCACTCCCGCAACTCGGCACAACAACCCGTTCACGCTCGTCACTCCTGCAATTCACACGGGAGGGAGGGGGATGTGGACAGGAACGAAAGCACCCACCTTGATCCGCTGTTTCTTGCTGAGTCTCTGTGCGACCGAGAGGTCAGGAGGAATACTGTCCACGTCGTCCTCCTCGTCGCTATCATCGTCCATGTTCTGTAGGACCGGCATCTTCAGCACCGACTGGGTTAACCCATCCCGCAGCTCACCTCCCGCGTTCCTGCGGAGAGAACCGTAATAATAATAATAATAATAATCCTTGCGTTTGACCCGGCGCCCGATCGAGCCTTCGAGACGTCTCAAGGCGCTTCACGGGATATTCTGCGAAGTGTAGCGACCGTGTGTTTTGGGGGCCAATCAGTCGCGGATTGAGTGACCAAATTATTATTATTTGAAGAAATTATTACCCCCTCACCCCCCACCTCACAGAAAGCGATCTGCCAATTGACTAACAACCCGGGTTCCTATTTACCGCTAAGGTCAACCAGAGGCGTGCGGAGAAAGGAAAACTGCCCAACATTACGCCCTGTCGGGAATCGAACCGGAGTCGACGTACAGATCAGCCGTGATCTACTAGAATGGCGGAACAGGCTCGAGGGGCTGAGTGGCCTCCTCCTGTTCCTATGTTCCAGGCCCCGCAGATCAGAAGATATCAAGCTGAAAGCTCAGTCGGCGCTACGATTGGCATCGGTATTCCCGAGGTGATGACAAGGCTAATAATAATCCTTCCTTTGATACGGAGTCACCCGGGAGACAGAAATCGGGAGTTCAGGTACAGATCAGCCCCAAACTGACGAGGACAGGCTCGAGGGGCTGAATGGCCTGCTCCTGTTTCTCCGTTCCCATACTTGTCAGGTCAGGCTATTAAGTAGTCGAGTGGCGTTGTGGTTTTCTGAGTGGTTTTGATGAGTCAGTGGGGAGAAATTATTTCCGCTGGCGAGTCAGTGACTTCAGGGCATCGATTTAACAGTGTGAGTAAACGGGGGCGATTAGGAGAATTTTCTTTACGCGCGTGGGTGGGATGTGGAATGCCTTGCTGGGAGCGAGAGGCAAGGCACAATCCGTGCTAGCTTTCGAAAGAGAACTAGATAACCGCCTAAAGAGGGGTCAACCGCCGCGAGAAGGGGCCAACGATCCTTGTAATTGACAAAACGACGGTAGCGTTAAGTGGTCCGAGCACTCGCCTCGCAAGCGGAAGGACCTGGGTTCAACTCCCAGGCAGGGCGAAACCTTACTCCACACACACACACACACCCTCTACACCGCCCCCCCCCCCCCACCCCGTGCGCGCACACACGAGTAACGTGTCGACAGGCTCAGGTAACAGCTCGCTCACCTCTTAATCTGCTCCTCGATCTGTTTGACCAGCGGAGAGTCGCCCCCGTTGAGGACGGGCCCCAGGCTGTTCTCCTGAGGCTCCACGTTGCACTCGGGGCTGGTGTGGCCCAGCATCGACCTCACCCTCTTTGTCCGCACGTCCAGGATGGTGTCCGTGTAGCCGACCTCGTGGAGGTACCTGCAGCACAACAACGACGACTTGGCATTGTTACCGCGCTGGGCAGCGCCCGACAGTGGGCGCGACCTGGAGATGGGGCGGGAGGGGGCAAGGCAGAGGCAGGGATAGGGAGGGAGAGCGAGAGAGTGAGAAGAGTTTTGAGGGGTGGCACTCACTGTCTCAGCAGCTGTCTCCCCTCTTTACACCACACTGGGCTGCTCGGCTGTATGGTCGGGAGCTCTGGGCCATTGATTACAGCTGGAAACAGAGGAAAGAAGCTCGAAACTGCAGCCCAGGCTATCAACAAACCTCTTTACACGCGTGATACGCCGCCCCCTTTAGTCACGCGAGTCCCGGAGTGGTTAAGACCCCTCGCCTCGCAAGCGAGGTTCGATTCCCAGGTCAGAGCGAAACCTCCGGTTAAGGTTCCTCACTCTACACTCGCGCCTCCGTTTGCCTAAAGTAAGTAGGAACCCAGTGGTTAAGTCGATCGGCTTTCTGCAGGTGATAAAAATGCGGTCACTCAATCCACGACTGTTTGCGGGGACACTGGTCAGGTTTCTCCCCACAAAATACACAGTCACTACACGCTACAATATCGTCTGTGAAGCGCTCTGGGATTTACACAGACCCCGAGTGAGGGGCGCTATATCAGTGCAAACTGTGGTTGAAGCCGTTTGGAGACGTCGCAACGATGTGCTAAGGCGCTATTTCAAATGCAAGGATTATTGCTGACATTAATTATTATTCAAGTCCCGCTCAAGATCCTCCTCTTCGACCAATGCCATCGGCCACCCCCCCTTCCCCTCCCTCCCCCCCCCGACCGACCCCAGCTCCGGCCTGGAATGCCGATACTCAGTCCAGCGCCTTGGGACGTTCTCCCGACCCGAATGGCGCTGTGCAAATGTAATCTGGTTGCTGTTATTGGGGTTGGTCTGGGCAAACCTGCTACCAGCTGCTGCCCGCCCACACAGTCGGACCACGCCAGGAATGTCGAGACGCCCAAAGATCTGTAGCCGTGCCGAGGGGCAAGCTTAGCGTTGGCGAGGGATTGGCAAAGTCCGATTGTGCAATGCGACAAAGACCCCGTGATGTTCCTCTACCCAAAGGCCACCATTAATCACGCGGTCAGACCTGAGCAAGCCCGGGCCTGGGGTGAGATATAAATCCTATAGTGTTAACAGCGGAAACGGCTCCTCCACGGCCCCGACACAGCTGCTCCAGGTGAGGGAGTGAAAGCTGCCGCTGGTGGCTTCAGACACAAGTCTGAACACACCTGAAACCTCAGGCAAGTTTCCTGACTCCACACACACGCCTCTGTTTACCCAGGAATAAGTAGGAACCCGCTTATTATGAACACGTCGACATCCTCGCTCGCCCTGACTGAAACCTGGATCACTCCAGGCGACACCTGGCCCCCGACTGAGGCCACACCACTCCTTACTCTTCTGGAACCCTCCCCTCCTTTGAGCACCTTGCCCTCTATCACCCCTCCGACCTTTCCCTCAAAATTCTCCTCGTCTACCGCCCCACCAAGCCTTCCCCCAACTTCATCCCTGACATCTCCACCCTCCTATCTTCCCTCTTCCTTTGCACTGAACGACTCCTCATCCTCATCCTTCACTTCACCCCCACCGGCACTACCTCTGCTGACTTTTCCTCCCTTATCTCCTCCCTCAATCTCTCCCTCCACATCCACTCCGCCACCCACGTCTGTGGTCAACCCCTCGACCTGGTGATCACTCGGGGCCTCACCGTCTTGGACCTCTCATTGACAAAGTCATCTCGGACCATCACTTCATCTCCCTTAACTCCTCAATCCCTCTTCTCCACCCCCACCCAATCCACCTTCATCTCCTACTGCCCTGGAAAAAAATCTCCACTCCCATCTCCCTCTCGGCTGCCTTAGGAGTCACCTGAACTCCTTCCCCCCTGGGCGTTCTCCCACAATGACCTATCCTCCTCGGTCACCCTTCTCCACAGCTCCCTCTTCTCCACTCTCGATTCCCTCGCTCCCCTCTCTTCCCGAACCATCTCCTACTCACGCAAGTCACGTTGGTACACCAGTCAATTCCGCTCCCTTGAAGCCCAGGTGTGTTCCGCTGAGCATTCCTGGCTTAACTGAAGAGCATTCCCACTGAGCCAGGCCAACAGTCCTGGCCTTTCACTAAAGCTTCTTCCTCTCTCTCCCTTCCCTTCTACCGTGCCCACAACAAACCTCATGAGACGCATACCTGCCTCGCCACCTCCATTGCCTCCTTCGAGACCCGGCTCAACACCCTCCTCTTCGACCGTGCCTTCGGTCACCCTCTCACTCACCCTGTCCTCCACCCTCCTCGACCCCCAGCTCGGGTCCAAAACTCTGATTGTCCAGCGCCTTGGGACATCCTCCCGACGTGAAAGGTGCAATACAAATATAATTTTTGTTGTTGCTGTATATATATATATAAACACGCAACGAGTCCCAGCTGGGAACCGACGTATTCACCTGAGTCCGACGTATCCATCTTCACCTCATCCTGAACGGGCTCCGTCCCGTACTTGAGTTTGTGGTACTTTATCCTGGAAAATAAAACACAGCGACGAATGAGACAGAGGTCGCGAAATCAGAGTAGTATAAGCACCTCGGAACTCCCAGGGAATTCAGAACATATCTGCTCAGTGAACAAGTAGTAAACGTGTGGAACCGACTCCCGAGGGAGGGCGACAGATAAACGGTGGAAGCAGGAACTGTCGATTCTTTACAAGCACAAATTAGATTGATTTCTGTTGGGAAATAATACCTGGGGAGACGGTATATAGTTTGGGACACGACATGACGTGTCAAGCGACTGCCGGGATGGTGGAAGGCAAACCGGATGGACCTTGGCCTCGCGAATGCTTAACTTATTCGAATGCAAGGATTATTATTACTATTATTGTTGTTATAATACAGCAACCCTCAAGCAGGGCAGTGTCTCAGAGCGCACACATAGGATTCCTCGTGACCCAAAGCCCCTGACCAAAGTGAGCTCAAACCCCCACAGATTAGTAGTTCATCCCTGGCTCCCAGACAGCTGGGGATGCCTGGGGAGAAAGACCCGGAGCCCGGCTGACTGGCACACGCTTACCTCTCCTGCTTCAAGGCGTATTCTAACATCTTGATCCTCCTCACCAGATCTTTCTTCAGATTCTCCTGGCCTTTCCTCTCCCCTTGTAAAAAAGCCACGAGCGCCTGGAAAACAACACGGGCGAACAACGTCGACTGACGTGCAAAGGATAATAACACACCTTGCCCTTGATACCGCGTCTTATCACGTTGTTGAGACGTCTCGAAGCTCTTCGCAGAATATACTGTAAAGTGAACGGACTGTTAGATTTTGTGGGCAGAACGTGGCATCCAATTGCGCACAGTAGTGTCCCACAAACAGTCGTGGATTGAGTGACCAAATTTTTTTTTTTTAAGGGATTATTTAGGGATTTTGAAGGAAATCACGTTAACACTGATTCCCGGCATCCGACTGCCACTGAGTGCCAGATCACAGCGTGGAGATTTAATCTACTTTGGTCCGGATAATCTCACTAAAATTCATCCCCCGAACCTGGCAACTCTCCCGCACAGGTAAGTGACCTAGAATATCGCGGCAGAGCCATTTTATGATCACTTTCGGCTCCAAACCAAAGGTTTGAAAAGCTCGAAAGAGAACGGGCATTTCGCACAAGGCAAAGATTTAAAAAAAAAATGCCGTCACTCAATCCACGACTGTTTGTGGGGCCGTCGCTGTCCGCAATTAGCTGCTGCGTTTCGCCCGCAAAATACACAAGTCACTACCCTTTACAGCATATCCTGTGAAGCGCTTTGAGATGCCGCAAAGACGCGTTAAGGCGTTATATCAAATGCAAGGATTATTATTATTATTATTAGAATGTAAACACACCGAGTGTACGTTAAAAACACAAACTGACTTTCCTGCTTGTGGTTAGGTTCTTACATACTGAAGCAGCTCAAAGCTCTTCACAATAATAATATAACGGTAATCATTGTGATCACTGTCGAGAGCAGCGACCGTTTCAGCAGCCCTGGGTGGGGTTGAGCCGAGCAGGACTGAGGTGCGAGCTAACGCAGGGGTGGGAAAGAGGAACTGGGCTGTGGAGATAATAATGATGATAATAATCCTTGCATTTGATATAGCGCTTTTCACGTCGGGAGGACGCACATAGTCAAGATCGCCAAACGCTGAGCTGAGCCTGTGTCACTGTGTGGGTGCTGTCTGACGGCTGGGAATATGGACTGGAAAGGGGTTCACGTACAGCCCTCACGGCACCTACATACATACGCCCCTCGCCCGAACATCTCGTAACACAAAGCATCTCTGCTCCACAAACACGAACCCGCCCTACACGCAACCTATGCCCCAACCTCCCGCCCCCACTCCCCTCGCACGCACCATCCTTACCCGAACGCACCCGCACGCAAACCCCATCACCCACCAACCCCCATCAAACGCTTCCCGCCTACGTACAACCCTACACCCCACCCGCCCCATCACACACACTCACACCCTCTCAACCCATCACTGACCACCCACACCCCCCCCCCACACACCCACACACACCCTCCCACACACACACACACCTACATAAAACCATACACAATCACCTCCACCCATCGCCCTCTCATTCTATCACACCCCCCTCCCCGCCTCGCCCACAGACACCCACACCTGCCCACACTCCCCACACCCAAATATACCCCCATCCCACCCCCGTCGCCATCTTTAATACCAAGATGTCAGCCCTCCTGTGAGCAGCCACAGTGGACTGAGCGGTCAGTCGGTCAGTGAGTGACCCCTTTCAGAAAGACTCCCTCACTGCCTTCCCCCTGGGTCTGGAGGCAGAAGGTGGGGGTGGGGGGGGGAGAGGAGAGAGAGAGAAGAGAAAGAGAGCAAGAGAAGGAGGGAAAGATGGGAAAGAAGGCCCCCCCCAAAAAAACACACACACAGAGAGAGAGGGGGAGAGGAGGGGGAGAGAGAGAGCAGGAGAAGGGGAGAGAGAGGGGGAGGGAGAGGGGGAGAGAGAGGGAGAGGGGGAGAGAGAGAGGAGGGAAAGGGGAGAGAAAGGTGAGTGTGTAAGGCGTGTCTGAGTGTAAAGTGTCTGAGTGTGAAGTGTGTGTTTAAGGTACGTGTGTGTGAGGCGAGTGTGTACAGTGAGTGTGTAAGGTGTGTGAGGTGAGTGAGTGTGAGAGGTGAGGTGAGTGAGTGTGAGGTGAGTGAGTGTGAGGAGTGAGTGTGTACAGTGAGTGTGTAAGGTGTGTGAGAGGTGTGTGAGTGTGAGAGGTGAGTGTGTGAGGTGTGTCTGAGGCGAGTGAGTGTGAGCGGTGAGTGAGTTGAGTGTGTGAGGTGTGTGTGCGGGTTGAGTGAGTGTGAGAGGTGAGTGCGTGTGAGTTGAGTGCGTGAGGTGAGTGTGTGAGAGGTGTGTCTGAGGCGAGTGAGTGAGTGAGTGAGTGTGTGAGGTGTGTGTGAGTTGAGTGAGTGTGAGAGGTGAGTGTGTGAGGTGTGTCTGAGGCGAGTGAGTGAGGTGAGCGAGTGAGTGAGTGAGTGTGCGGTGAGCGAGCGCGAAAGGCCCCGGGAGTTGGGGCCTAGTCCGGGGGCCGGGGACCGGGGCCTCGAGTGGCGGCGCGGGGCCGACCTGCAGCTCCGCTCGCTCGGCTTCCCAGCGCGACTTCTCGAGCTCGAAGCGGCCCCACTCGTGCTGGATGTAGTGCAGGATCCCGGGCACCGTGTAGGCCTCGGCCGGGACCGGGGCCTCGGGCTGGGCCGGGCCCGGGGCCGGACCGGAGGAGGGGGGAGGAGCCGCCGCCGCCATCGCCTCACGGCCGCCGACACCGAGCGCCGAAGCCATGATGGCGTCCATCCCTTCCTTCCTTCCTTCCCGCCCTCCCTCCCTCCCGCTCGCTGCCAAATAGTGAGCCGCCGCCGGCCAGCGAAGGCCGCGCCTGCGCACTGGCCGCCGCCCGCCCCCCCGCCAGATAGTGCGCCGCCGCGCCTGCGCACTGGACCGCCGCCCTCTCCCCCTCCCCTCCCCCTCAGGGAGCCGCGCCTGCGCACTTTGTCCTCCCCGCCGCCAGATAGTGCGCCGCCGCGCCTGCGCACTGGACCGCCGCCCGCTCCCCCCTCCCCTCACCGCCGCCGGGAGCCGCGCCTGCGCACTTTGTCCTCCCCGCCGCCAGATAGTGAGCCGCCGCGCCTGCGCACTGGACCGCCGCCCGCTCCCCGCTGACCGGAGCCGCGCCTGCGCACTTTGCCCTCTCCGCCCACCCCCACCCCCCCCCGCCAGATAGTGAGCCGCGCCCGTCACTGGGGGCCAACCCCCGGCACTTCCTGCCACATAGTGAGCCGACCAGAGAGAGAGAGAGGGAGAGGGAGAGAGGGTTGGTGTTGGGTTTGGCTTTGGGGTTCGGGGTTTAGGGTGGGTTTGGGGTTGGCTTTGGGGATTTGGCTTTGGGGTTTGGCTTTGGGGTTTAGGGTTTGGGTTTAGGGTTTAGGGTTGGGTTTGGGGTTTAGGGTTGGGTTTGGGGTTTGGCTTTGGGGTTTAGGGTTTGGGTTTAGGGTTTAGGGTTGGGTTTGGGGTTTGGCTTTGGGGTTTAGGGTTGGGTTTGGGGTTTGGCTTTGGGGTTTAGGGTTTGGGTTGGGTTTAGGGTTGGGTTTGGGGTTTGGCTTTGGGGTTGGATTTGGGGTTTGGCTTTGGGGTTTGGCTTTGGGTTCGGGGTTTGGCTTTGGCCGGTCCAGGAGGTTGGGGTTGACCTGGGTTCGGGTCGGGTCTGGACCCTCCAGGGGTCGGGTTGGGGTCACGAACAATAACAGCAACTGCCGTTAATTATCAGTGATAACGACGACAACAATTGGAGTCTGATCCCCCCCCCCGTACCCCCCCACCCCACCCACCCCGAGCCACAGGGGGGGGGGGGAGGGCAGGAGGGAGAGTGGGGTGGGGGAGGTGACTGTAAGCACGGCCGAGAAGGGAGGTTGTTGAGCGGGACTTGAAGGGAGGGAGAGAGGGGAGGGGGCAAAGCGGAGGGATTGAGGGAGAGGGGGGAGGGGGCAAGGCGGAGGGATTGAGGGAGAGGGGGCAAGGCGGAGGGATTGAGGGAGAGAGGGGAGGGGGCAAGGCGGAGGGATTGAGGGAGAGAGGGGAGGGGGCAAGGCGGAGGGATTGAGGGAGAGAGGGGAAGGGGCAAGGCAGAGGGATTGAGGGAGAGAGGGGAGGGGGCAAAGCGGAGGGATTGAGGGAGGGCGGGGAGGGGTTTGGAGGGTTTGGATTGTCTCGGGATTTTGAGGTGGACTTTGCAGTCGAGTTCTCATTCAACCCATCCCACCTCCCCACTCCCCCCCCACCTCCCACTCCCCCCCACCTCCCCACTCCCCCCACCTCCCCACTCCCCCCCACCTCCCCACTCTCCCCCCACCTCCCCACTCCCCCCCCCACTCCCCCCCCACCTCCCCACTCTCCCCCACCTCCCCACTCTCCCCCCACCCTCCCACTCTCCCCCACCCTCCCACTCCCCCCCCACCTCCCCACTCTCCCCCCACCCTCCCACTCCCCCCCCACCTCCCCACTCCCCCACCCTCCCACTCCCCCCACTCTCCCCCCACCCTCCCATTCCCCACTCTCCCCCCACCTCCCCACTCTCCCGCCACCTCCCCACTCCCCCCCCCACCCTCCCACTCCCCACCCACTCCCCCCCCACCCTCTCTCTCTCTCTGTGTGTAGGTACCGAGCAACGACTGATGGACGAAACCGTCGCCCTCCCGCGATCAACGACCGTTCAGGGCTGGTGACGAGTGGCAGTGAGTTGGGGGTGAGGGGGGGTGGGGGGAGGGAGGGAGGTGGGGGGGGTGGGGGGGAGGGGGGAGGGAGGTGGGGGGGGTGGTGGAGGGAGGGAGGGAGGTGGGGGGTAGTGGTGGAGGGAGGTGGGGGTGGGGGGGAGGGGGGAGGGAGGGGGGGGTGTGGGGGGTGGGGGAGGGAGGTGGGGGGGGAGGGGGTGGGTGGGGGGAGGAGGGGGGGGTAGTGGTGGAGGGAGGGGGGTGGGGGGGAGGGAGGGGGGGGGGTGGGGGAGGGAGTTGGGGGGTGAGGGGGGTGGGGGGTGGATGTGATTCGAGGCTCTCTCTCTCTCTCTCTCTCATAATCATCATCAACAACAACAACTTTGATTAATACACAGAGCTTTAATCGACCACAACCGGGACCGGGACCCACCGGCCATGCGGGTCACCCTGTGTCAGGCACTGCTGACCGCAGCCATCGCCGTGAACCTGCTGGTGCTGTACTGGGTGTCCGGGGGCCCTCGGCGCCGACCCCCGGGACCGGGGGAGAGGAGGAGGACGACGACGACCACCGCCAAACCGGACGTCACGGTCCTGATCCGCGAGTTCGAGGACTTCGAGAACGGAGTGTCCGGAGTGGTTGAGTCCTTCCTGCGGGAGCGGCCGGAGCTGCCGGTGCTGGTGGTGGTGGACCGGCCGCCGCCTTACCCCCCGCTCCGGCTGCCGGTCGGAGAGAACGTGCGGATGGTCACCCTGGAGCCCGGGCCCGAGCCCGAGGGTCCGGCCCCTGACCGGGACCCCGGGCGGCTCGAGGGGCTCCTGACCACCCAGTTCGTGCTGCTGGTGCCGGACGGGGCGCGGCTGGACTCCGCCCGACAGCTGCAGCGGCTGGTGCGGGAGCTGGAGGCCGGACGGGCGCGGCTCCTGGCGGCCCCTCTGCAGACCCGGACCCCCCACCGCGACCCCCACTGCCTGAACCTGACTGTCAACCTGAGGGAGTGGACGGCGGTCTACGCCCCGGACCCCCGAGGCCGGAGCTGCGGGGCGGTGGCGGGAGAGGCCGTGGTGCTGCTCCGCAGCCGGGACCTGCTGACCCTCTGGCGGCCGCTGGCCAGGCCGCTGCTCCCCGCCCTGTACCTCCAGGCCTCGCTGCGGGGTTGGCCGGTCCAGCTGACCGCCCCGGGCCTGGCCTTCTCCTCCCGACACCGCTCTCTCTTCGCCTCGGACCACAACCGGCACAAGGCCGAGCAGCGCGGCCACCAGCGCTGGGCCACGTTCCTGGGGCAGGTGGGGGTCAAGAGGGTGGTCGCGGCGGACGGGCGGGAGCGCTGGTTCGGCTGCGGGAAGGACACCCCCCGGTGTTTCGGCACTGTGGCCGCCGACACCCCCGACTACCTGTACCGGGGCCGCTGGACCCCCCCGTGCTGCCTGCGGGCACTGCGCGAGACCACTCGGCGCGTGACCCGAGTCCTGGAAGCGTCGGGGGTCCGTTACTGGCTGGAGGGGGGGTCGCTGCTCGGGGCGGTCCGCCACCGGGACATCATCCCCTGGGACTACGACGTGGACCTGGGGCTCTACCGGGAGGACGTGGCCAAGTGCGAGGCGCTGAGCGGTCTGTCCGCCTCGGGATCGGTGGTGGACGAGGAGGGCTTCGTGTGGGAGAAGGCGGCGGAGGGAGACTTCTACCGGGTCCAGTACAGCCGGAGCAACCGGCTCCACGTGGACCTCTGGCCGTTCTTCCCCAGGGACGGGGTCATGACCAGAAGCGGTTGGACCGGCCACAGGCAGGACGTGGAGTTCCCCGAGCACTTCCTGAAGCCCCTGGTGGCCATCCCCTTCGCCGGGGGGAGGGTCCTGGCCCCCAACAACCCGCGCCGCTTCCTGGAGCTGAAGTTCGGAGTGGGGGCGATCGAGAACCCCGAGTACCCCAACCCACTGGAGAAGAGATTGGCGAAGATGGAGGAGGTCCCCGAGCTCTTACATTGACTCGGCGCTGATGTTCGGAGCGAGTGGGGGGAAGGGAGGGGGTGGGGGGAAGGGAGGGGGTGTTCTTGAACCCCAAGTATCTGAACCCCACCCCCACCCCAATCAAAGGAGGATGACCCAAGTCACTGACTGGACAGTGAAGGGTTTGCACCCGAGTCGAGGGTTGGAATCAATTTTTTGGGGTTGATTTTTTTGCCCGACCGAGGGGGGGTCACCGTGACCGGCCGAGGGTCTGACACGCACGGAAACCCGTCACCGTGACCGGCCGGGGGTCTGACACCCACACACGGAAACCCGTCACCGTGACCGGTCGGGTGTCTGACACACACGGAAACCCGTCACCGTGACCGGTCGGGCGTCTGACACACACGGAAACCCGTCACCGTGACCGGTCGGGTGTCCGACCCACACGGAAACCCGTCACTGTGGCTTAAGAGTCTCCAAACCCGACTGAGAATTCCCCACATCCCCTCCACACCCGGGAACCCCGGAGGGTTGAAGGTTGAGAGTCGAGAAGTCGTCGGTGGAGATTATTTCGATTCACTTAAAACTCCTGAAATGAATTTAAATTAACTTTGACTCACTCTTGGGAGTCGATCCGAACCCTGCGAAGAAGATGATGATTTCAGGCCAAGATCTTGAGTAATAATAATAATAATAATCCTTGTATTTGACCCGGCGCCTTATCATGTCTTCTGGACGCCTCAAACGAGTCTTTGGCGTTGGGACAATAAACACGGAATTTGTCGCTCTCTGTAAAACGGGACAACGCTCGGGGGGAGGAGAGGGAAAGGAGAGGGGAAGGGAAGACACCTTTGCACGTTACAGAGGTGACGTCAGCGCCCGGGGGGTGCATTGAGTTGGAGCCCCCGCTCTGTGCTGCTACTGACCTCAGTCGTGGCGACAACAAAACACGTCCACCTTTACACGGCGCCCATCAAGTCGGGAGGACGTGCTAAGGCGCTGGACGGTCAAGGGTTTGCAGGGCTGGAGTGTGGGGCGCGGGGGGTGGGGGGGTGGAATAAGCCAAGGTCCTCCTCCATATTGCTATCTGGATATCCCCCCGTCCCCTCGCCGAGCACTGCGCTTCCCCTGACCTGGGAAAACCCACCGACTCTAATCCCTCCACCCCTCTCGCCTCCTCTGCGATGGGGCTCTCTCTTAGCCCAGAGCGAGGGCCGAAATCGTTCACTAAAACCGCGCTGGCGCTCAGGCCGCTGCCGCTGCGCCCGTCCGAACGCCATCGGTGAGTGTAAAGCGTTCCGCTTTTTTGCTGAGATTAAATCACGACTCGGGCGAACGATTAAAATCTCGGGATGGAGGTCAAGATTATTTGTGGTTTTCGCTCCCCCGCCGTCAACAACAGCTGCTAACACACACCCCCCCACCCCCACCACACCCACACCCCCACCCCGCGCAGGCACGAAGGTATAAAAGTCCTCCGACGTGAGCGAGTGCGGTGATGATAACACTTACGTTCCGACGCGGCACCTTTCATGTTGGGAGACGTCTCGAGGCGCTTCACGGGATATCGCTGCCGACTGCAGTGACTGTGCGTGGTGGTGGTGGTGGGGGGGGAGAGAGGAAATTGTCCATTAGAACTAACGGGGGTGGCCTCAGTTTGGAGTCTCCCCCCCCCCCCCCCCACCAGCGCAGCACTGAAGCCTCAGCCCGGATCGAGAGCTCAAAGGTTACACGTTGGACCGCAAAATGTCGGGCTCTGTGACGGTCTCCAGTGGCCGGTTCCTGAGCCGGGAGGGGCCGCGGTATCCCAGGGCGCTCGCCGCTGATGGCGGCCCCGGTCTGGCCCGGTCTGGCCCGGCCCATCGGCAGGACCTGGAAGGGCCCGAGCAGTCACCGGGGGCAGGGAATCCTCCCCCCTCAGCTCCGTGGTCTCCTGCCCAACCCGCCCTACCATCGCTGGACAGGTTGTCAGCCTCTCTGTCCCCCCCCTTTAGAACTCCATCCCTCAACCCTTTGGCCGTTGTTGTTGTTGTTGTTAAAGTGGGGGGGGGCGTGAAAGCGAGCTGCAGTGCACCGATCACACAGGAGGCGCTACACGTCACACATCTTACCCCCGAGGCCAAAAATCCACTCCCAACTAAAGCTCCGAACTCGGAAGAAGAGACGTCTCAAAAGCGCTTCACAGAATACATCATGAAGCGTAGTGACCGTACGTTCTGCGCACGGCGGCGTCCCACAAACAGCCACCCAATTTCTTCTTATTTTTTTTTCTTTTGAGGAATTATCATCAGGCGGGCGAAGCAAGGAAACTCGCCCAAGGTTTTGCCCCGGATAATAATTCCGACCGGAAAAGAGATCCAGCAATCGATTTAACAACCGGGTTCCTACTTACTGGTAAACAGACGTGTGGAGTAACGAAACTTGCCCAACGTTTCGCCCTGTACAAGTTTCTCCGCGGAAGCCCCCCCCCACCACCCCCCGCAACACACACACACACACAAAATATCCTTAAAAAAACAGTACAATTAAAAATTAAGTTTTATTCCAACTTCACAGCTCCTGGAGGCTACAACCAGTTTATTTCCGTTTCTAATTGGTTTCGAGTTTCGCTGAACCGAGTACACGACACAGAGAAAAGCGGTCGTCGCACACCCACGTCGACGAAAGTCAGCATTAGTGACCCCCACGGTGACGGGGTTTTAACCTTCGCTGGAAAAAAAAACCCCCACAGCGACGCATAACTGACGTCTGGGCAGCAATGGAGTTCCTTGTGAAAATTTCCGATGCAAACCACCGCGATTTCTGATGAAAATCCGGAGAGCGTTTGCGAGTTACTGAGACGGCAGAGATAAGATTATCGGAAAGGAATGCGCTCTCTCTCTCTCTCTCTCTGGACGCATCTTGCTTACCTAATTCCGGAGAGTATTAGGCACAAGTTGGTGAACGCCGAGGCTCGGTGCGGGTGGTGGGGGGGGGGGGGAGTCGTGGGAGAGCCCGGAGTGTGCGTTGGGGCAACTGCTGGAGTCTAACCGGCTAACACCACGGTTTGCCCATTGGCAATAATAATAATAATAATAATAATCCTTGCATTTGATACAGTGCCTTATCACATCTTCGAGGCGTCTCAAAGCGCTTCACGGGATATACTGTAAAGATGCACACGGCGGAGTCCCACAGTCAGTCACCAAATTATTATTGTTTTTTTGAGGTGATTGTTAACGCCCGGAATAGCGATCCCAATCAAACAACAAGCGATTACATGTTATATTTATACTGACATCGCCGCTCGGTCAGCGCACACGCACAGACACAGACGCACAGACACAGACGCACAGACGGGCGGAGGAATGCATTCCCAGGGATTTGCGGAGATGAAAGATTCTCCGATCAATCGCAGCAACTCGAAAAACAGGTCTCGCCCATTTCTCGACCGAGCACGTTCACGCTGGAGGAGAGAAGGCAGAGGCCGATATGATTACAGTCGCTTAAGATTCCAAAGATAACGTGGACTGTGATAAATTATTTTGTCCTGAACAGTAGAACCAGAGGACGTGGCCTGCGATTGAAGTGGTGGGGGGGGGGGGGGGTATTCAGACAGACGGACAGACGGACGGTGGAAGCAGAAAGTGTCGATGCTTTCAAGCAGAAATGGATCGATTTCTGTCGGGAAATAATTAGGAAAAAAAGCCGAGAGAGAGAGAGAAATGGCCCAAAAATAGGAATGATTCGAAGGCTTCATAAATTAACCTTTAAATACTGTTTTAAGTATATATATATATATATATGTGTATATATTTATCCTTTGTCTATTCCTCACCCAGGAATCCATCCTTTGGGATAATAATCCTTGCATTTTTGACCCGGCGCCTGATCACGTCTTCGAGACGTCTCAAAGCGCTTCACAGGATACACTGTAAAGTGTGTAGTGACTGTGTATTCTGTGGGCGAATCACTGGAAGTTCAGAATGCGGAAATGGGGAGGGAGGGGTGTGTGTGTGTGGGGGGGACGGGGGGGGGGAATGGGGGACGGACGTGAACAGTCGATCCTCATTCTGCACCAGATTTTTTTTTAGGGAAACTTAAACCTTCCCCCTTCCCCGGAATGTGGCCTCTAGCAAACCATTGGCAAAAGTGATACTGCATGTAGTAATAATAATAATAATAATAATTAATGCCAGTCTGCCACACACACACACACACACCCACACACACTCCACGATACAGAGCTGTGCGAGACGACTAACACCGGGTAACATTTCTAAGCATTCGAAGACGACGAACACTGGGTATTTCTGAGTATTTTTTTTCTACTTCAGTAGTGGTACCACTTCGTGTGGATATATATATATAAAATATTAATAATCATTGCTTTTGACACAACGCCCTATCACGCCTCAAAGCGCTTCACAGGACATATTGTAAAGGGTAGTGACTGTGTGTTTTGGGGGAGCACCGCGATGTCCCACAAACAGTCGTGGTTTGAGGTGACCACGTTATCATTGTTGGTATATTAAAAAGCACACGCGACGTGTTGCTCGGAACACAAAACGCTTAACCAGCGAAGAGGAGGAGAAGATGGTACTGAACAGGTTCTCGTGGTCAGACCCGGTAACCGGTTAGTTAACAGCTCCAGTAACCGCTCTCGTTTATCAGCCCTTAACCACATAGATCGGAACAGTTCGTCTCCACCACATTGACATCCTCTGCTCTGGACTGAATCCGGATTCTCTTCTGACGTTTACTTACAATCCAGGGCATAAACCCCAAATGTTTGACTTCAAAAGGTGGGTGAGGGGGGGGTGGGGGGGGGGGGAAAGGGAGGGTGTGACCGCACGGGGTCAATCGAAGTAAAGATACAAACCGAAGCAAAAGGAGTCTTTTAATATCATAAAAATAAAAATAAAATCCAATGATTCAAAAGACCAAGAGATTTCTAACCTTGTACTTAACTCCTTCCCTCTACCACCCCTTCTATTTCCCCCCCCACCACCCGCCCACTCTCTCTCTCTCGCTCGCTCTCTCTCTCTCAGTGAACTGTTCCACCGATGCCATCGGTTCGGAGGCAAT